TGCCTCCCACTTCGGTGTCACCAGCTGAATTTTTCAGGGATGAAAGTACATGATAAGCTTACCCTTATTCCGGAGGTAATACAAAATTAGACAGTGCAAAAGGGCACTATCATAAAAAATCGAGTTATTGATACCACCATATAGAAAAAAAATTGCTTATTTTTTTGTTCTAATGCACAATTAGGTCTTTGTAGGAAGTGTTTTTTATAATTATTTAAAAAAAATCATTTGCATTAGCCCTTATGGTCGAAAAAAAATTTAAACGTCAATATCTCGGTTTCAACCGTCCACAAATTTGTATAAAAAATCTTTTTTTAGAAATATACCTCTCATTTGACGAAAAACAAAGGCCTAAATGAGAAAAAACTATTCTTCATAAAAGTTTCGCATATGTATTATCAAAGTAACAGTGCTTTCCCCATATTTTTTGCTTTTATATTAACAAAAATATAGCAATAAACAATTAGTTATATCATGGTTTATCTAGAAAGCAAACATTGAAGGTAAAGCTTCTCGACTCTCTTTCTTCTCTCTCAGTGCTAAAATGTATGCAATCAGTTTGACTCTCTCATATTATTTTATTCAGGGATTATTGATTTATACGCTATGATTTATTTTTGTATTTTTTTTTTGAGGAAAATAAAAAATAAGAAAATATGAACTATTTATTGAAGGTATAGACGCAGTATATATAAGTATCGATTATTAACAGTAAGGCTATTGCTTTGCAAAATACAATAAATTCCCAATGTAAAAAACATTATAATAATAATAATTAAAAGAATACCGGGTGTTCAAATTAAAGTGTTATAGTTAAATACCGCCGAAAATATGCATTTTAGAAAAAAAAAGTTTCAGGCGAAAGTTTTATAGTTTTTTGGGGGAAACATTTTGGCTAAATTTTTTTTTTATAGCTGATCATAATATGGCCATATCGAGGTGTACTTTGTTTTTTAAATGGGAACCCCATTTTTTTTGTAAATATTCTTAAAGTACATAAAAAAATAAGAAACTTTAGATGGAAATAATTTTCTTATTCGACTTTCACTTTTTGAGTAACAGCTACTTAAAACTTTTGGTAGGCGAAAAAAAAGTTGGCCATATTATGGTTAGCTGAAAAAAACGATTTTAGCAAAAATTTTTCCCCACAAAACTATAAAACTTTCGTCTGAAACGTTTTTTTTATAATAGGCGGTATTTAGCTGTAACACTTTAATTTGAACACCCGGTATAAAGCATAAATTAATATTATTAAAATTTATAAGTACAAGACTTTTAAACTAATCAGAATCAGATTCACCACACGAATCAACATTTTCCAAAACATTAGCGACTGTGATCAAACTTTTGCTGCAGTTTTTCTGTGCCATACAGGTAGGTGCAGGAACCGATACAGCCAATATTTTTTTCCTGCATTTACAAATTTTGCTTTCTTAGTCTAGAACAGAATAATATTATTAGAATATTATACATCTATGAAAATTATCGGTATATAGTACCTTTTTTGCATTTGCATGATGTAAGTTCTGTTATGTCTGGTGGCAGGTCGGACAGAGTCTTAGAGTGGGTATCAGCCTTCCATCTTGATCTATTTTCTATTCATACTCTTTAACATTAGGAAGCTGCATCTGCGGCTTTAAAGAGCTTAGCCAAATATTTAGCTGGTAAAAACATCTTAAAAAATGTTATCTTAGGTCGTCTTCAGTCGGTGGCAATTTAGCAATGGTTTTTAAAGAGGGCATTAATCCCCTCAAAATGTTAATGGAAGTAACACTGGCAGTTTTTGAATACATTTTTATGAAACATTTTTCAAGATTAGAGAATATGTTTTATTTTCCCAATGCCAGACTATTGGCTGGTTGCATCATAACCGGTCAGAGAAAGAAAAGCAGGCAAATTTTTTAGAAGATACCATCCAAATTTAAATCATGTACTGCTAGAAATCGTCTCGAGTCTCTTCGCCCTGTTCTGAACCATATCTCTTTAGTCAAATACTTCTTGAAATAAATTTTTAAGACTAGAACATCTGTATCGTTGCAATCAATAATGCAGCATGAATGCTCCGAATTTTTGGCTAACAATATGTGCAATAAGATACGAGTATCAGCTTCTTTATGATTTTAATTTAAGAAACCATCTTTTGATAGTTCAAAATTCGTCCCATATTTATTGATATTCGCGAATCCACCACTAGTTACAAATTAAATATGCTTTTGCTGAGTGGAATTTTGAAGAAGTTGCTCTGACAGAAAATTTGTTAAACGTCTATTGTTAAATATAGAATGAATAAACAAGTTTCATTGTTGCGGAAGTGGTGTATTGAGTCGGTCAATTTCTATATCAATTGATTTCTGGGATCCTCTCTTTTGACGAGTTTTTGATAGAATGTTCTTTATAATGATCATATACCACATCAATCCTTTAAGCATTAAATTTATTTCTAAAAATAACGTTTACAAATACATTAGCATATTCTTTAAATGATATACAACTTTTGGACTTTCCCAAACCTTGGACTATTGCCATCCCATCAAAAATGTGACAAGTTTTGCCAGAGTCAATAGGTGCAAGTAAGTGTCTTTGTGAGTAAATGCCATATTGTTCTAAAATATTTCCCAATGAACTCTTTTTTGTGGAGGTGCCGAGATACCCATTTACTGTTAAATGCATCGGAGAGGCTGTCAGCTCAAACTTAAAATATTTCGGCATAATTAATGCTTCTAACCACATCCTTTGCTAATAAATTTTTGAGTTTTCTGTTGATTGTCTTTGTCCATTGTATTTTCTTTATAAAAATCTGGAGTATCAACAATACTTAAAAAACTCTAAAAAGTCGTTTGACCCTTTTCGTCTACTGTTAATTTTAAGGCCTCTACTTTTGCACTGTAAATTTCCTTAGTTGATATAGAAGTTAATTTCGATGATACATATTTAAAAACATCAAATTTATTAGGCTGTTCCACTAAAGTAACCACCCATTCTTCATCTAATGCCATTAGTTTTGTTCTCTGTCTCAGCGTTAAACATGAAATATGTAATTAAAACATTGACCTCTTATTTTCATCCTGTTTGCTGAATCAACAAGCATATTGACTTGGCGAGGATTAAGAACATCCTTATTTTGATACCATTTTGGTCTTTGCTTCTTGCAACAACAAATCCGTAATTAAAATTTTAAACGAAATCCTATAACTTATAACAAACAACCTGCAGGGTGTTTTGCTTTTAAAAAGTATAGATTTGGTTCGCACCTCGTTTATGGACCACCCTGTATATTTAGAAATAATTGTTAAATATAGTCATACAACTTTTATACTAAAAATTTCGTCGTTTTTCTAATAATAAAACAGCTATCTATCAAATATACACACTGTACATGTGTTATTGGCTAACATATTGGTATCGTTGTATAGACAAATTTTTAAGGAATGTTATGATAAGATAATATACACGATGATGCATTTTACAAATTGAGTAAATTGAACTTAAAATCAGTTCTATCTCCACTATTCGTTAGCTTAGTATCTTATAAGTCTGTATATTAAACAATTTTGAGATCAATGTAAACCTACCTAAATTATGATAATTTAATTTGCGGTCAGCATCATTCTCTAATTTCAAAAAAAAAATAATGCTTGGCAATACTGTAATATTTTATAAAAATATTCTAGGATTGAATACAGTATTACTAAAACATTCTAAAAATAAAATAAAATACATACATTTTTATTTGCCAGGAAAAACGCAATACCCTGTATATCCAAAAATATTTTTTAAATATCTATTTTTCAAATCTATATAACTTTTATTAGATTAAATTTGAAGTTTAAAATTTACTGTTTATTCATTTTTGAATTATCGTCGAAACCTAAAGTACAGTTGAAAACTAGAAGTCGAAAAAAAAAACAATTCTATATTTTACTGGATACATGAAAGTTAAAACCTAATTTGAAAAAAAAAATACATTTAAGCATATTAGATTTGTATAATTATTTGAAATATTCAATTTTATAAAACAACTAAAGGCACCATTAACACTCTGGCTCCGATATCCAACAAAATAAGCAAGCAATCGATTTTTGCTAAGAGGCCGTTTAGTCGTTTTTCTAAATTTTTACCACTTCCGTAGAGACATTTTCCGGACCACAAAACGTAAAATCAATATCTCAAAGAGGCTTTCTCTCATTACTTACATATCCTTCATGCTCTTATGCAAATATTAAATATGTTTATTAATTGAAATAATATGCATATTAATTAGTAAACTCCTAAATAAGAACCTGCGTATTTGAATTTATTTCGAGTCGACTTTAGCGCCATCTATTAGAGAAGCTCCGAATTAACCTGTGGCTACTTGTATGTAATTTTAAGAAGTTTTCTTTTATATTCTATGCAATTTTTACATATAAATGGCGATTTATAATTTCTTCCAAAATTTACTTCAATGAGCTTTTAAGGAAATTGACGCAATTAATTTAAATATTTTAAACGACATTTGTTGCTTTAGTATATAGCCTATTCAAAGAAGAATTATTTTCATCATCAGGTAATTATTACTGGTATATTTTTAGCTTTATTTCATCGTAAAAATTACCATATTTTGGGAATTATTTTTAAACGATCCCTGATAGTTAGAGACACCAAAAACCTTTATTGAACAGTAATATATCTATTATCGGCAGGAATTTTTTCACTTTTCTCTTTGTTGTAGTTTCAGCTAAAAAGTCATTGAAAGAGTGTTGTGTATGCCTATGTTAAATACATTGCCCACGCCCGCCCTTAAATGAAATATTTTTTTTTCAATGGACAAAACCGGGACTAGTGGTTTAAAATCGGGATGGATGATCACTTTATTGTAAATCAGTTCTTGTAGGTAAGTGAAAAAAATTGTGGAAATGTCTGTACACCACATACTTTGATTTTCTTGTACACCCTGTAGTGTGTATGTCTGGTTGTCTATATATCAAATCCATCGCACAGGAAGAGTTGTCACGTGTTATTTCAGTTTAAGTGCCAACTGTCAACAAACTGTCATTCATCGTGGATAAACTGCAAAAAATAAACAAATAAATTAATAAACAGGTTTACAGAAAGATAAAGGTAAACCAAACCTTTGCCAAAATATCGGATACACAAATAGGTAAACTATCTACGTATTACCTCAGATGAGTTGTAATAATTGTTATTCAACAAACTTAATTTAAATGTATATCATCAAAAGTGATTAGGCTAATTTATTTCAGAATTATAATAGTACCCACCTTCATTTACTTATCAGCAAGAGCTTAGATTAACATTAATTATTATTGGTTTTACCGCTTATACTAATAAAAAACCTATTTACAGGCTAAATCATAAAGATACCACTCAAATCTCAGGGCTACCGCTATCTATAAGTGCTAAACATAAAAATACTCGCATTAATCCACCAATATTCTTAATTTATCAAGAAGCGTATATTAATATACAACATGTCATCCAAACATCTAACACTTGGTAAGTACTTATGTCTGTTATGGGTTTCTTCTTGTTATTAATTTTTTAAAAACATCACTTAAACTTTTTAACACATTTATTAAATACTTTTACGGCAAAGGGCAAAGCCGGGAATTTAATAATGAATAATAGTTTAAAGACTAGTAATCGCATAAAGTCACTGTGATCTCTATGATATCCTTTTTATAACATTTTATCTAGTGATGTAGCTGGAGGTTGAAACAATGTTGTATGGGACGATTAGGGTACCTTGGAATATGCTAAGGTCTTTACTGGGTTCTGTGAGTCATTCTCTATGAATAGAGCCTTGTTGGATTATGATATAACATGTATAATAGATTGAGTAAAACAGTATTTCTGTTAAGCCTCATTTTCATGGAGATAGTACCTACTCTCACAAAAGTATTGCCTATGACTATTAAAAAAAAGGAGTTAACAAGTATTGATCATATTTATGACACGAGATACAAAAATCAGTCAAATTATATACCTTTACCTCATAAAAATATATTACAGCGAAGTTATTATCTTGGCCCAAAATTCTATAATTTAATCCCAAACGAACTCAAAAATATAAATTCTAAAAACTTACTTAAAAAAAATTAAAAGCCTGGATTAAAACCATTCCAAGACATCAAATTCACACTTACATAGGAACCTAAAACATTAGTAGTTAACATTTCTTTATTTATGCAATTGCCTTATTTTGCTACATATTCTTTATTTTAATTAATACTCTTGTTGGAAATTCACCATAGTTTGTGTCTGATATTATGCACTTTATAAATATTATAGTTATAAGTATTATATATACAGAGTGGCCCAAAAGTCTGGAAACAGCCAATTATCTTGTAAATTGCTAGTGCTAATTTTACAAAAATTGGGGTACACCTATTTTGGGATACAGAGATTCTAGATTTGATATTTGCAATGTTGCCAGATTTGCCGTTTCTCTTATATTAATAGTCACTTTGGTTTTTCAAATTCATTACCCTGTATATTCAGTCATTATTGGAATCTCCTATTCAATACGAGTTCAACCATATGTAACACATGATTTTATGTAGTCTGGAAGGTCTTATTGGTATATATACACAACTATTTTTATTGTTTGTGTGTTTTTAGTTTTACTATTTATATGAATGTTTTTTTTTTGTTTAGGTACTATATATAATGTTTTTAAAATTCAATTTTATTTAGACTTGCTACAAACATTTTAAACTAATGTAACGTAGTTAAATAAGTAAATCTATCCAAATCTATTGTAAAAATCTTTTTTGAACTTTCTCAATATGATCAACATGTGTTGCTTCCTAAGGCATCTATCTTTGTGAAGCATAGAGACTTTAGATGGGAGCTTAATAAATCATTATATAATCTGATTTTGGTGTACCTGTAGCAACCCTTTTTAGACAGTAATCCACGTTTTATATACGCCTTTAGAATGTTAAATAAATCGAGCCTTATTCCCTAGATATGGCTCCGTCTACGTTACAAAAATCTTACCTATGAAATTACCATTTCTTATTAAAAATATTTTGGCACAATACACATTTCTTTACTATCCTAAATGTCCTTATTAAACAATTCAATGTTCAAATTATTCTCGAAAATATAAAAAAAAAACAAAAAAACACAATAAAACTTAAGCTGTCATGAAATTTTAGGTTGTCAAACTTAAAGGTTAATATCCACATATGAGACACTTGTAAAAGACGATAAATAATGATATTAAAAGATTGTAATTAATAAAAAACTTATTATTGACGCTTTCAATTCTTTATTTTTCTTTTTTTAACAGCTTGTATTATAGGGAATAGTGATTTTTTAATAAAAATATAATTTAGGATATTTGATGGAAGAGATATGACAACATAGGAAGAGCTTATTGTCGGAAAGATGTGGACAAAATAAATGTAAACGAGGCGTATCTATTCTATCCGATATAGTTGTTACCACCTTAATTTTTATACCTTGAAAATCACATCAATCAACAAAAATCACTTGGGTCACAAAAGATGCCCACAGTACATATTGTCGGAGTCATGTAGTTAACCTGGTATGATATATCGGAGTATGAATGTGAATAAAAGGTTTTGCTTTTTCTGTGACAAATATATTTTTTGTTGACAAGTTATATTTATTTATATCTGTCTAAAACTAAAAATCACATGGTAACGTAATAAAAACAGAGGCAGTACACTACAAATACTCCCCCCTTAAACAAAAACAATATTATTTAATTGATTACAAAAGAGACTTTCTTTTTGGGTTTACCTGAATCTACTTCAGGGATATGTTTTGAAAGGAAAAATGCTGGTTTAATTCTGTCAATGCTAACCACGTATTCTCTATTGTCTTTATTAATTAAAAAATTCTTGTCAAAACGTTTTATAACTTTGAAAGGTCCTTCAAAAATGGGCGATAATGAACTTCGAAAACCTTCTGTTTTAATAAAAACATACTCACAGGTGTCTAACTCTGACGAAATAAATGTGGTTTGAGTTGAATGATGTCTTGGATTTGTTGGCTTAATATTATTAAAAATATCGTGAAGGCTACTTAATAAAGGGTTAATCTCAAGGACATTCTGACTTTGGACGAAAAATTCACCTGGGAGGCGTAAAGGCTGGCCATATACGAGTTCAGCCGAGGAACACCCAATGTCCTCCTTAACTGCGGCACGGATGCCTAATAGAATTAAAGGTAATTCTTCTTTCCAATTGGTGGTGTTTCCTCTAGCTATTAGTGCAGACTTCATAGTGCGATGAAATCTTTCCACCATACCATTACTCTGGGGGTGATAAGCAGATGTATGAATTTTATGACAACCAAACAATTTTGTAAATTGTTCCATTAATTTAGATTCGAACTGCCCACCCTGGTCTGTCGTAATGGTATGAGGAATACCAAATCGGGAGAAATATTGTTGGAATAAAATTTTAGCAACATTTTCTGCACTAATATTACTAAGAGGGTATGCTTCAGGCCACCTCGTGAACCGTTCGACTACTGTCATGATATAATTGCATCCTCCTGATTTAGTCAGAGGCCCGACTAAGTCGACATGAATGTGTTCAAAACGACCTTTAATATCAAATTTGCCAATAGGGGCTTTAGTATATCTATTAACTTTAGTTAGCTGACAATTAACGCAAGATTTTGTCCATTTAGTTATGTCAGAATTCATCCGAGGCCAATAATATCTAGATCCTATTAACTTTTTTGAAGATTTAATTCCAGGATGAGAAATACCGTGAATATTCGAGAAGATAGTAAATCTAATATTTTTAGGAACATATGGACGATATTTACTTGACGAAACTTCGCACCAAAGTTTTGTTTCCAAAAGTGGTATATCTATTTCTTGTAATTTGTTATAGCTGTTATCTTTCTGACTACGCAATAATTGTTGCAACTCAATGTCATCATTTTGGTATTGTTTAAAAGACTTTATATCTAGCTGGATAAAATTCGAGGGGGTTAGTTGTGGCAACATTTCTGGGGAAGTAATTTCTTCTAACCGAGATAATGTGTCACTAACCACATTTGATTTGCCCTCGATATGCTGAATGTCTGAAGTAAGTTGAGCAATGAGTTCTAAGTATCGAAACTGACGTGGACTGTTTTCGGTTTTCGAGGTCAAAACGTTGGTGAGAGGTTTATGATCCGTAAAAACCGTAAACTGATAGCCTTCTAACAAATGACGAAAATGTAAAATAGCAGAATAAATTGCAAAAAGTTCTCGGTCGAAAGTGGAATATTTCATTTGGGTTTTTGATAACTTTTTTGAAAAATATGCGAGAGGTTCCCACGAATTATCAGAAAGTTGTTCTATGACACCACCTATGGCATAACCTGATGCATCTACTGTTAAGGACAATTTGCAGTTTGGGCGAGGGTGTACTAATAGCGATGCTTGGGCTAAACCGTTTTTAGCGGCGATAAAACTATCTTCATGTTTTTGTGACCACTGTGAAATCGTCTTATAACTTAGTTTTAACTTTTTTTTTAATGAAAATCTAGCTAATCCTCATAGTCATAATTAATATTTATTTTAGGTTCTGAGGATCCTCCAAAAACTGAAGGTCTTTTAAGACTGTATTCCATGAAATTTTGTCCTTTTGCTCAAAGGGCTAGATTGGTTTTAAATGCCAAAAATATTCCACATGAAATTATAAATATTAATTTGATAGAAAAACCTGAATGGTATATCCAAATAAATGAAAAAGGTACATTTTTCGAAATCAAATAAACCTTATTTATTCAATATTACAAATTACAATTGTATTTTAGGTTTGGTCCCTTGTTTGATCGATGGACCAAAAACTATTACAGAAAGTCTTGATATTGCTGACTATCTAAATGATAAATATCCTGAACCTCCCCTATATCCAGCTGATCCTGAAGCCAAGAAAAGAGATCAAGAATTAATTCAAAAGGCAGGTCCAGCACAAGGTATTTTATTTAAAATTTTGTTGTCTAAAGATGATAGCACTACTCCCGAAGAATGGGCTAAATTGTTAGTAGACTCTCTTCAAGATTTGGAAAATGAACTTGGCCAAAGGGGTACTCCGTTTTTTGGTGGTGAAAATCCTGGAATGGTTAGTAGATAATATTATTTATAAGTATAATTGTTCTACATGGTATATTTGAAATATATTAATATATTAAAACCAAGAGATCTGCCTGTCACAAATGACACTAATTTAATAATTTAAATATGTAATAATGTTCTCATATTTTTTGTGAATTTCATAAATTTATGTGACTGGCGGCATACAACCAACAAATTACTGGCAATTTTAATTACCAGTGTGGTTGCTAGATCACTTTGTGAATTAGAAAACAGTGTAATTTTAGAAATAAATTGAAAACATTTAATAATTACTCTTAATAATTTTTTACAATTTCAGAAAAAAGGGTATGTCTAATTTGTGGATTGGAATTTGATCTCAGCCAGGTACTAAACGAGTAATAGTTAGGAGTTAATATTTCTGACATGTAATATACATCCCAATACCTTTTTGTCCCCATCGCCTCCAAGGGATACTTTACTCTTATCAATTTTGACAAAATTAGTGCCAGGTACTAGAAAAAACAAGCTAGATAGCTAAAACTTCGCACACGAAATTCTTATCCCAATGCAAAGCGCAAATTCTAATAGAGCTATAACATTGTTCTGTCGTAAAATTAGTATATTTATGGGATTCTGTAAAGCCAAATTTGGCACCTACAAAATATTTTTATATTGTTTGGGACAAGGTAAATGTTTTTTTAAACAAATGGCTTACTATTTAATTATGTAATTAATTTACCACTTGTAGATACCGCCTATTTTAATACAAAATAAATAACAAAGAAAAACGAAAATTATCTAAAGGTACAGTTACATCTGACATTTATTGCATGATATTTATGTCTGACAGTTGTTTATTCCAGTGTAAACACTCAAAAATATATGTCCGAGAGAAATTTTTGTGTGTTTACACTGGACTAAATAACTGTCAGACATAAATATCATGCAATAAATGTCAGATGTAACTGTACCTTAAGACACTGCGCTCTGAAACGATGCACGCAAATAACTGGTCCATCCGATACGGCAGAGTGCTGAAGCCAGTATGCCTTCAGTGTGCGCGGGCAGACGGGACAGGCGGTATGTTGTTTTGAACTTCTCGGCACACACACAGTAATTGAACTCAAATCGGGAAGGTTCCCATCCTGTTAGACTGGATCGGAACCCTCCTGATACCACCGTCCCCCCTGACATCTTCGCTACAGGGGGCCTCAAATTTCCATCCTTTGATTAGTATGCCATTCCTTCTTAAAGGGCTGTGAAGGATGACATATTATCAACATTTAGACAGGATTTGCTGAGGGCATTTCCCTGTTTCGTCGTACATTTGTTTGTCTTGTGTGCACACGTTCTGTGAAAGTCGCCACCTGTGAAGGCTCCCCCAGTCTTCTACTTGGCGACTGCCCAGACAGCACACCAAATCCTTTGGATATCTACTGAACATCCCAATATCCACTGAATGTCCAGTCCATGGTGGATATCTATTTTATATCCATGAAATGTAATTTATAGACATGCAAATGTCCATAAATAATTGTAATTATATAGCAAATTATTAAAAAATTACGCCATTGTACTCGCCATTGTGGCTAATAGTACCGTTGAGATATTTAAAATTAATTTTTTTTAAGGTGTATTCGATATCCCATGGACATCCACTATAAATATATCAAAGTCTAAGCGCGGACGCAAACCATCGTGGATATCTACTAGATGTAATTTTTGATTTTGCTTCCTAAGTATAGATGGCGATACCACTTTCGTATCTACTCATGCTTAACCCGCCGTAATTGAGTTTGATCGACATTGTTTCACAAACAGACTTCATTAGAGACTGAAGTCGAGAAGTTCCATTTATTGCTGAAGATTCCTAATAAGGATGATTTTCTCCTTAGTAGGCAAAATCAAAGGCAGATTGTTGGGAATATTTTTTACCTCTATTTTTTTTCGACGTTATTCAATAACCATTGGTTAATTATGAACCTCTACTAAAAATAATTATAAAATATTTATCTGAATTTCTATATCCTGGGATATAGACGGACATTTGGTTGGATATCCACAAAATATATTCTATGGATATATCTGGGATTTCTTGTATTGTCTGGAGATACTCGTTAGATATTTTGCTGAATATCTATAGGATATCTTCTATATTCTGGATATAGACGGACATTTGGATATCCATATTAGTTCCACGGAATATTTCTGATATCCTGTGGATATATTGGATATCCACAAAATATATTCTGTGGATATCTCTGGGATTTGGTGTGTTGTCTGGGTGGGGGGACCTTCTCCCTCAAGTGGTTAGTCGTCAGTTGCGCAGTCCTTGTTTGATTCGCGTGTTGCGCTCTGTCGAGTATTCTGAAAGAATGCTGAAAGAGAAAGTTGAAAGAAAGTCTTAAATCTATGAGCGTCTTGAATTTTGCAAGCAAGATTTGGTCACTCGCCGCCATATTCCAGCACCTTGCGTGGTCTGGCGTGTCTTCTGTAGTCCGCTCTCTCGTATTCTGTTAATTCTCTTAATTCTATGTTCGGGTGAGTCCTTAGTTTTTCAAAGGTGTCAGTAGCCTTCTTGTGGATGAGGTCTAGGACCCTTTTGGAGTCTAGATCCCTCATGATTGCGTCATTTCTCGTGTATCTATAGGCGTTTGAGGCCCATCTCAAGCTGATGTTCTGCTGGCTCTCGATCTTTCTGTTTGTTTTACAGGTATCCCCATGCCGTCGAGGCGTACATGAGGATGGGTATTATGACTACCTGCATGAGCCTCATTTTTGTCTGTAGTAGGAGTTTGCTCTTGAGTCCTATTAGGCAGTTAAGTCTGAATCTTGCCTGTTTCGTCTTCTTTGTCCAAGTGTTTGGTAAAGGTGAGTCTTTGGTCCATTATAACTCCTAGATACCTGGCTAAGTCGGTCCATGGGATGTCCTGTCCATTCATTGTTACTTCTTCTCCTGGGGGGTGATGCCTCTTCTTGAATATCACAGCCTGTGTCTTCTCTGCGTTGATCTTTATCTTCCATCTTATGCACCATTCTTCTATGTCTTCCGCTGCGTGTTGATATGAGTGCTGGCTGTGTGCTCGTAGCCGATATCGCTGTATCGTCCGCGTAGAGGGACATGGTAGTATGTTGGGTTTCGGGATGTCAGTTGTGTAAATGGTACACAGCAGTGGTGACAGTACCGCCCCTTGAGGTACTCCCGCTTCTGAAATTCCAGGTCTTGATAGGACATGTCCCATCAAGACATCGAGCTCTCCGAGAAAATCTTTCCAGCTTCTCTCAGCATACAGTTTTAGTTCCTCGCTGATGCGACGTCCTAAAACATTAGCATGGCGTTTGTCCGCCGGGTCTCTCGTGTGAAATGCGATTTTCCTTGCTCTCTTCCTTGCTGAGATTAGGTCTTTCAGGTCTTGGCTTAGGTTTTTGAATTTGTGGGGCTTGGCTACTGTCACTGTAGTCGAACTGGAGGCAAGTGACTGTTGGATGACTTGCTCTAGAGTTTCCCAGGTTTCCTCCCACTATCCTTTTAAATTGTGTCCAATTTGTCTTCGACATTTCTTTCGGAGCGTCCAACCTTTCTCCTTCTGCTAGGACAAGGAGGGTAGGCTTGTGTGCTCTGATTTTATATAACTTTATTTTCTTTAAACTGTGTCCTAACTATTACTCGTTTAGTACCTGGCAGCTGTTAAATTCCAATCCGCAAATTAGACATACCCCAGAAAAAATTATACATTAACTTGTTTTATCATGTTGATGCATTTCAATTACATCCAGTGTATATCAGTATTTATAGTAGGGAAGTGTAATAGTGTACATAATAATTAAAATAAAAATTAATTATGATGTACTATTGAACCATCCATTATTATTATTATAGTATAATTTATGTTAAAAATAATCTTTTTATTAGCTTTCCAATGATTGATTTTCACGTGTGTTGGAATAGACCTATAAGGTTTTCGATATTAAACCATTTTGCTCATCAGTACTTTCAGACATATTTGTTTTCGATCATATGCGATTTTAAACGTATGCGATTTTGATTATGTGCGATTTCGATCTTTTCTCTCTTATGAACTTTTATAGGTTCAAACTTTTTCTACGTTCGAAAAATTTTCCAATCGAACTTTTTTAAAAATTCGAACTTTCGTTTTTTGGATTTATTTCACAAACTCGTTTAATGCTCTCATAAAACATCAAGCATTCCGTAAACGGAGTAATTTAATTAATACATTTTGTTTTTACTAGGTTGACTACATGATTTGGCCCTGGGCTGAACGAGCGGGATCCATAACTTGCAAACTTGGCAAAAAACTTCCACTTAAAGATTCCGATATCCCTCTTCTACGAAAATGGAGGAAATCGATGCTCCAACATCCCGTTTGCAAAGAACTTTACATCGATGGGGAAAGATTTTGGAAAATATTTGTACCCTCGAAAATTACTAACGAAATGCCTCTGTATGATGAAGTATAGCTTTAAAATTTAAAATCAGTATTAAGTAATAGTAAAGCTTATCTAATTTTGTTGTTACAGTGTAGAATTTGAATAACATTATATTCAAATTTCTCTGTTTTACGCTGTTAGGTCGTTACATAATTTTTTATATTTTTTCGAAGATTATAAATTGAATGTTCATATTTTATGCTGTTGTACGTTTTTAGAAATCAAACTATTACATTTATTTATTGAACAAGCTTTCGTACTAATTTCCAATAAAAAAAAGTTTCAAATTCATGTCTTTTTATTAATGTATGAATTAATTATTTGTGGATTTTGACTGTTTTATTTCTATAGTTAATTTTCGATTTAAACTCCATTTTTTTTTTTACTTATTCAGGACAAACATCTTAACTGAAACCGACAGTTTTTACTAATAGTTAAAAGAGTGCTAAATTTATTAGTATTACAGTCCGAGAGGCAGGAGTTGCAATTTATTGGCTGATTTATAATTTTGGTATAGGGGAGAGCGGGGCAAGACGGGGGGTAGTGAGGTAAGATGGGGTACCACTAATTGTAGCCGAGTGGGGGCAGTCGATCGAACGGAAAACAACAACAAAATGCGCTGTCAAGGTCTGTAACCAGTGTTGCCAGAATATATTTTTGTACTGTACCAGATTTATCTAAAAAATGTACCAGATTTCATAAAAATGTACTAGATTCTATAAAATTACCACATTTTTCTAATTATGAAGTATGGTCATTAAAGACCAAAAAAAGGTTTATAGGGAACACGAACACAACAATTTTGAACAATATTTTGTCTCTCGACAAATTTCTGACACTATTTTCTATCTTGAGCAGTTTTTGAATAAGATTTTAATACCTTTTGATACTCTTTTATCTCTCGAACAGTTTTTAAATCTTTTTTTTAACTCTTATTGAGCTATTTTGAAACAACATTTTAGCTCTCGATTAATTTCTAACAGTATTCTATCTCTCGAGCAATTTTTAACAACTTTTTTTTATCCCTCGGACAATGTTTGTACAAATTTTTTTTGTAAAATGTTTAACACTATTTAATTCCTCGAGCAATTTTTAACAGTTTTTTATCTTTCAAGCTATTTTTGAACAATATTTGATCTCTCGTGCAATTTTTGAAAAAGATTTTAATACCTTTTGATATTATTTTTATCTCTCGAACAGTTTTTAAAAAACTTTTTTTTATCTTTTGAGCTATTTTTAAAAAATATTTTATTTCTCGATTAATTTCCAACAGTATTCTATCTCTCGAGCAATTTTTAACAACTTCTTTTATCTCTCTAGCAATGTATGTACAATATTTTTTTTAACACTATTTAATCACTAGAGCAATTTTTAACAGCCTTTTTTTTACCTTTCAAGCTATTTTTGAACTATAATTTTAACAATTTTTAACACTATTTTATCTCTCGAGCAATTTTTGAAAAAGATTTAACAACTTTTGATATTTTATCTCTCGAACAGTTTTTAAACAAATTTATAACAGTATTTTATCTCTCTAGCAATTTTTAACAACTTTTTTTATCCCTCGAGAAATTTTTGTACAAAATTTTTTGTACAATTTTTAACACTATTTAATCACTCGAGCAATTTTTAACAGCTTTAACCTTACAAGCTATTTTTGAACAATATTTGATCTCTCGTGCAATTTTTGAGCAAAATTTTAATAATTTCTAACACTATTTTATCTCTCGAGCAATTTATTTTTAAACCTTTTTTTATCTCTTGAGCTATATTTAAACAATATTTTATCTTTCGATAAATTTCTAACATTATTCTATCTCTCGAGCAATTTTTAACAACTTTTTTATCTCTTTAGCAAACTGCACAATATTTTAACTCTCGACAGATTTATAAAAATATTTTAACTATCGATAAATTTTTGACAATGTTTTATATCTCGAGCAATGTTTGTATAATATTTTATCTCTCGAGCATTTTTTAATAGTATTTTATCGTTCGAGGAATTTTTAAACAATGTTTTATCTCTCAAGAAATTTCTAATAATAGGTATCTCTTGAGTCAATTTTGTTCAATATTTAATTTCTCAACAAATTTTTCAATAGTATTTTATCCCTCGAGCAATTTTTGAACCAGGGTTTAACATTTTGTAATACTATTTTACTTCGAGCAATTTTTGAACACGAATTTAACAATTTATAATACTATTTAATCTCTGGAAAAATTATTAAATATTTTTATCTCTCATTAAATTTCTAACAGTATTTTTGTTCCTATATTTTTGAACAATATTATACCTCTCAAGCAATTTCTAATACTATTTTATACTTTGATAAATTTTTAACACCCTTTTTTACCTCTCAAACCATTTTTTAACAATATTTGATCTCTCGTACAATTTTTAAACAAGTAACTATTTTAATTTCTCTTGCAATTTTTGACCAATATATTTTACACTTCAAATGGAAACATACGCTGAAAAAAGTACCAGATATTGTGTCGAGTGTACTAGAGTATCAGATTCTCAGAGAATGTACTAGATCTAGTACAATTGTACTAGACTGGCAACACTGTCTGTAACCACGGCTTGAAAGTTTAGTATGCCGTGGAATTGCGACGAAGCAGTTGTGTAAAGTTATCTCCAAATAATCTGCGATTTCATACGTTTCATTTTTATAGTGGTCAAGTTTAAACTGTGATAAGTAAGTAGACATTATTTTTACATTTTTTAAATATTTACTGGTGTATGTGGGATGTATTTGCAGTTAGTTACGTATAATTAGTTTTTATTTTTTATAAACCAGAATCGCAGTAATTAGAAATTTTTGCAAAATGGCGCGAAGGGGCAAGTAGGTTTTGTTTTTGAGGGGCAAAAAGGGGTACTACTTGGTATATAGAAAGTCACCTTTGTTGTTTAAATTGCCAGAGTAAAATTATATTTATAATTATTTTCTTTTTAAGATCATGGTGAGAAAGTATAAACGAAAGTCTGACCGTGGAAATTGGTCTGTTGAAGTGATGGAACATGCCGTTACAGCTGTGTTGAATGAGGAAATGGGATATAAAAGGGCAGCTGTGTGCCTCAATCAACTTTGGAGAGAAAAGTTAAAATAGCTAGAGAAAATCCAGATATTGGAACTGAGCAACTTAAACCCAGTTTAGGTCCAAAAAAGCCAGTTTTTAGTTCAGAAGAGGAAAATTTGCTAGTAAAATTTCTCTTAAAAATGGAGGAGAGATTTTTTGGCCTTACTCCTTACGACCTACGAGTATTAGCTTTCCAGTGGGCTGAAAGGCTCAATAAAGCCCATGCATTCGCAACTGAAAAACGAACTGCAGGGAAAGATTGGCTCTCAGGTTTTATGCGTCGCAATCCGAGGATATCTCTAAGAAAACCTGAGGCTACCAGTGCTGCAAGAGCAGCAGGATTTAATCCTACAGTTGTTAACAATTTTTTTGATCTTCTAACTCGATTAGTAGATAAATATAAATTAACTCCAGAAAGAATATACAACTGCGATGAAACTGGCGTATCAGTTGTTCCCAAAACTAAGTCAAAAATTATTTCGTTAAAAGGAAGAAAGCAAGTTGGAGCACTGACTTCTGCTGAGAGAGGTAAAACTATCACAACTGAGATATGTTTTAACGCTGCAGGTACCTACATGCCACCAATGTTTATTTTCCCACGTTCTAAAATGAATCCAGAGTTATTGAATGGCTGTTCTCCTGGTGCATGGGCTGAGACTCACCCAAGTGGATGGATGCAAAAAGAGATATTCGTTCGTTCAATTTAGCAAAGCTTCAAAAACGTCACCTGTACTTCTGCTACTAGATGGCCACTTCACTCATAGTACAAAAAATATAGAGTTGATCAACTACGCACGAGAAAATGGTGTCATTTTATTATGTTTCCCTCCACATTGTTCACATCGTTTGCAGCCACTGGACGGTTTATTTATGCGGCCTGTGAGTGTTTTCTATGATACAGAAATATCTCAGTGGCTGAGAACAAACCCAGGACGGGTTGTTTCGCAGTATCAAATTGCAAGCTTGTTCGGAAATGCTTTCTTGCGAGCAGCTACAATGCTTACGGCAATTAATGGATTTCGTCAGACTGGAGTATGGCCACTTAATAGAAATGTTTTTGGAGAAGCAGATTTCGCTCCATCACAGACCACAGAAATTGTTCTTTCTAATAACTCCATACCTGATAGTCAAATGAATACGTCTGAACTTTCCACGAATTTGTCGAATCCGGTTATTCCTCCGCGCCCTTCTACACCTACAGATCAACCAATAGTTAGTTCTGATGCCCTAAGTATCCAGGCTTCCTGTTCGTCTAATTCCACTTTTAAAATAGACTTTCAAGATTTAACTAAGCTTGCTACTTCCTTCGAATTTATAACTTCAAAACAAACACATTTACCATGCACCCCGGAAGATATTATGCCGGGTCCTTCCTGCAAGCAAACGACTCCTAGGGTTACCCGAAAAAAAGGCAAGACCGCTGTTTTAACGGAATCGCCGTATAAACAGGAACTAGGAAAGGAAATTGCTGAGAGACAAAATAAAGAGCTACAGAAGAAAGAAAATGTTAAGAGAAAATTAGAAAACAAAAATAATGCGAAGGGCAAGAAAATACAAAAAAAACAATTGGTTCTAAAGAAAATTTTAAACCGAAAAAGACTGGGATCAAAAAAAGGCCATCAACATCATCAGTATCATCCTCTGAATCTTCTGATGCAGAGTGTTTGTACTGTGGCCATCTTTACTCTGAATCGACCGAAGAGTGGATCCTTTGTATCAGATGTCACAGATGGGCCCATTGTTCCTGTGCGGGCGAACAGGATGAGGATGATGAAGTGACCCATATTTGTTCCCTATGTGAATAGATACCATCTTGCCCCGCATCATTTCCCATCTTACCCCACATGTGGGGTATTTTGTTGAAAATATTATATATTTAGTACAAGAATTTCTTTATTAAAATGTCAAATTTGAAACATAACCTCAACACATTGAATCACACAAGAAATTATGGTATAAAAAATAAAAGGTAGAATATCAACTGTGTTAAAAATAGGACGGCCACGCGCATGACGTCACGCGTAGAGTTTGTATAGGCGCGAATTTAAAAATACTGACCAAGTGAGGAAATTACAGAAATTTCATGAATATTATAGAAATTACATTAAAT